AGTTTGTCTTTTATTGGCTGTTTGATTCTTTTCCTTGGATGATGGTTGAATGTGCTTGTGTGTATAGCCAGTAGTGGGATGATTGCCTCACTAAGTATTTATGAAATACTTATGCATCTCTTTATGTGATGTAGGTAAAGCAAAAGTGTGGTCCGTGGAATCATGGCGAGGAGAGGAGGATGATCTAGGCGTTTATTGGTGTTTTTAGATTATTGTTGGATTTGTTAGGGTATTAGAATAGAAATTAGAAGCATGTTAGGATGATCGTGTGTTGGAATAAAGTTTGGTTGAACTTCTTCTTTGTCGCGAACTGGAACTAGCGGAGATTATTAGTCCTATTGTGGTTTCATCCGTTATCTGATCGGATCCAAATTTTGTGGGAAACTTCGTGACGTCTAGGTCGTGCTTTCCACAGAAGAGATTCAAAATGTAACGGTTGGTTTCTGTTTTAGGGATTCGCTTCTGTATGTTTTTTGTTGTTTCTATATATATATTTGAGGGTGTTTTAGGGCCCGAGTTTGTCTTAAAAGGACTTTTGCTTGTGTTGCTAGTTGTAGAGTCTTGTTGGACTGTTGCAATCGTGAGGAGAGTCTTTCTTGGGTGTTTTAGTTGTTTTAGTTGTTTCAGTCACCTTGTTAAGGTGAGTGCGTGACCATGAGTTTATCTAAGCGATTGGGATTGAGTGACTTGTTTTGTAATGATTTATAGGTGAACTGGAAGTGTTATTAGATGTTTGGGTTGTTGGTTAATGGTTAGTTTGGTATATTATATATGTGGTTGTTATCTGCTTGTTTATATAACTTGTAGCTGGGAGGATCGCTTCACTTTTGTTTTTTGTCAAACAAGAACTTTCATTTATTCTAAAGCTTCAAAAGAAGTAAGTTCATACAACATGGAACTAAAATAAAACAAGAAAAGTAAAGATAGGTATTCCATGAGTTTTCCAAAGGGATGCTCAACCTTGAGAAGCTTGCAAAGTTTGAAAAAACTTTTGGGATTATAGCGGATTCGACCATGAAGACGGGTTTCACAAAATCCTTGACCAAAGGATGGTCATAACCAGCTCGCACAAATAACACATACGAGCTTTTGAAAGAGTGCTCCACGTAGGAAACACATAGTAGGTTTCTCGCCAGCATGAGAAGGTTCAAGAGCAATGGGATAGGGTTTTACGATCTTGCAGGTACAAGCCTCATGACTCGAGATGAAGTTACAACCGGGAAAAGCAAGGGATGTGTGCAAGACCATAACAAAGCAGGTGGGTCCTCCCTCACATGAAGCCATCGGCCATGGAGGTTAAGGAAATCCACACAAAGTTTGTAGTCGGTTAACACTGAGAAAGAAAACCAGATCCGAGCTTCAAATCTTTTGACGGTAGGTGGTAAGTGGGAACAAAAAGTATAAATCCTTTGCTAAGAAAATTACAGAAACATACTCCACTGTCTGACAAGTTGAATTCTGATCTAAGAAGCCAAGAGACTTCAAACACTTGGGAGCAAAGGGGATCACCACCAAAACTAACTTCAGGGTTCGCAAAAAATAGGTGAATAGCCGTAACGAAACAAGTGGATCCTCTCTCACATAAAGACCACAACCATGGAGATTAAGGATTCCACACAAAGCTTCTAAAAGCAAAGTGTGACCGTGAAATCAAGGCGAGAAGAGAAGAATGATCTAGGGTCTCCTTGATTGTGTTATGGTTTTCGTTATGACTTTTGTTATGATTCTTAGTTCTCGAATTTAGAAGCATGCTAGGATGATTATGGTATTTCTGGATTATTGATGGATTATTGAGATTGGTTATTGGATTGTTTATTTATTTGTTCTTCCACTGGTTTTTGTTGGTTCCATCTGATTGTTTGGTCTGCTTTGTTAATCTGATTTTGTTGGTCTAAATTGATTTAATCCGGTTTAATTGGTTTAGATTAATTTAGTTTAATTTAGTCGATTAAGATGGTTTAATCCAATCTAATTGGTTTTAATTGATTTAATTCGGTTTAGTTGGTTTGGGTTGGTTAATCTTTACAAAAATGTGTCGGGTTTTTTCAATAATACTTTATTTTTGTGTAGAGTTTAAATATTTTGATCTTTTTAATATTCTATAAAGTTTAAATTAAATATTATAATATTTGAAGCTTTTAAAAGTTTTAATTTTCAAACTATTTATAAGTTTTAATTTTCTTAAATAAACCGAATAAAATTTTAATCCTGAGAAATCAATCTTGCTGCTCATTTGTAATTGGTAGCATATTAGTCATATTTGTAATGGTTTTGAACTATTATCGAAAATTTTCTATTTATGTAGACGTTGTACATATATTTTTCCTTTATCGATTGAGTACTATGCGTCTGTTTTCAAAATTTTAAATTGCAAAATATTCAGAAACTTTTTGTATTTTTTATCATACATATGTTTTATGTAATAATAAAATTTAAAACAAATAAGATTATCTAAATATATTGGAGAGAGATTCAATTTATTAGAAAATTTTTAGGGGGTGTTATTGGTTAGTGATTTATAGAGAGTTCTAAAGACTTCAAATGTTATGTAAAATCAGTTGTTATTCAATCAAGATTTTATTACACTCTTTTAAAGTTTGGTGTTATTGGTTACTGATTTTTAAAAACTCATTTAAAATCTTTACAAATATGGGATTATTGGATTTAGAATTATATAAAGTCATTAGAAGTTTTGAGTTATTCGATTAAAACATAAGAATCTTTGATTGTTAATGAATTAAATTATTATGTTATTGGTTTAGGATTTTAAACACTTTTCTTTACAAATTAAAGTCATGGAAAGTATTATCAAAATAGAGAGATTGTTGGAAAGACTTTACAAGATTATAGAAATCAAGTCAACAAGATTACAAAAAAACTCTCTAACAATCTTTTAGATGATTTCATTTACATACAATCTATGATTTTTTTAAAGTCATCAAAATTCTTTATAATTCACAAACCAATACCACCCCCTTAGGAACTTTTTTTGATGTAAAAAATAATTGTTTCAATTTTACGTTTTGCTTGTAATTTAATTACAAAATTTACTTTTAAGTTTTGTTATTTATTCAAATGATAAGAGTTTAATTATGCAAATATTAAAAAACAAGTTATAACCCAAAATAGAGTTTAGTACAAAATATACTTTAAAAATGTACATATCGATATTTTTGCGAGGAATAGGTCAATTCTATCTTTTCTTAATTTGTGCGTAGAAATCTTAAAAATAACTTAAAATAAAACAAAGAAAATAATAAATTTTAGGGGAATTTCAAAAATACCCCTTTTCATATACCTCTTTTTAAAAATACCCCATTTTCAAACTTTATAAAAAAAACCACTAAAAATGTTGAAATTTATCCAAATATGTGTGTAAGCTTATAAATATATACACAAATTACCTTTATATGTGTATAAAACTTTATATACCTTTCATAAATAGCGTAAAAATAAATTATAAAAACCTTATAAAAACCTTATAAAAACCGTATAAACCCTTTTAAAAACCTTTTAAAAACCCTTATAAAACTTATAAAAACTATTTAAAACATTTTAAAATATTTGTATCGAATCTCGCAGTAGTAGTTCTTATATAGAAGTACCTTATAAACTATATAAAACTTTATAATTTTTTATTTTTAAAAAGGGGTATTTTTAAAAATGGATAGATAAAGCGGTATTTTAAAAAAGAGGTACACGAAAAAGGGTATTTCTCAAAAATTCTCTAAATTTTAAGACCCATAATTGAACCCGGTTAACTCAATAATCCGGTGATCTGAAAAATATGTTCGCAATTCTATTCCGGTTTAAAACCATTGCACTGCGTTTTTTTACTTTTTTTCTTGGGGAAAAAAGCCAAAAAATACGCCATTTATTTTTTATTTGGACGTTTAATACCTCATCTTTTTTGGTTGGAACAAAAATACTTTGTTTATTTTATGTTGTCATAAAAAATCTTTGTTTATATAATGGTTAGAGAATTCATACCAACGATTTAACAGTTGTTAACGCCGTTACAAAATTATATAACAGAGTTAAATTTTAACTTCAGATGTTTAAAAGTATATAAACTATTGGTATCATTTAATAGCCAATAATGATTTTGGTCAGATGGCAAAACGTGACTTTTGTGAAAGGGGGTTGGTGGGTTCGATTCCACCTGATAACTAGTTAAATTTATTTTCCTTTTTTGTTTTTTTTTCTTAATCTGCTTCTTCTTCGATTGAATCGAATCAATTTGTTGTTTTGAATTGTTGTTACTACCGAATGCAACAGTTCACGTCAGGGATTAGCGTTTGTGGGTTCGATTTGATTGTCCTTGTGACCTATGCGGAAGAACCCTTAAGTCGTCGATAAAGCTTTCCTTGCATCTTCACAGATCTCAGATCTTATTGCCACATCTAGATCTAGAGAACAAGGAAGAAGAGATCAAACCAGACAATGAGATGAAGCGTGGTAGATATCTGAGATTAAGAAGTTCACTGGAAAAAGGTAAGAAGCATATACAATTCGGTTGAAGGAGAAGAAGAAGAAGATTATTAAAAAAAAAAAAAAAAAAAATTCAATGTTGTTAGCCGGATTCGAACCCAAAAACCCTCCTCAACAAATAACACGTTTTGCCATCAGACCACAGTAGTACATCAACAATGACTTGAACACCATATTATATATAGATTAAAACATCTAAAGTTAAAATTTAAATCTGTTATATAATTTTCTAACGGCGTTAACAACTGTTAAATCGTTGGTATGAATTTTCTAACCATTATATAAACAAAGATTTTTTATGACATCATAAAATAAACGAAGTATTTTTGTTGCAACCAAAAAAGATGAGGTATTAAACGTCCAAATAAAAAATAAATGGCGTATTTTTCGGCTTTTTTTCTTGTGTTTTTTTTTTTGCACAAAGAAACCTAAACTTTTATATATTTTAACGTTTCCGTGGAAATATTAGTTAATTATTAAAATTTTGAAAAATGGAATCTTCTTCTTCTCCCACTTTTTCCCCCAACGCTCTCATCGGCATAGAAATCTGAAAATTCTCTTCTCTCCATAACCCAATCGAACCAGATGAAACAACATCACTGAGAAGAAGACGAATCATCATCATCATCCTTATCAAACCATTTCAAATGCAAGATCTCTTTGGATCAGTTCGCCGTTCACTAGTCTTCCGTACTACAAACACCGCCGCCGACGATGAGAACCAAGAGAACCATCCTCCGTTACCTACTCTCCTCGCCGATAAAATCTCTTCCTGTATCCGTAAATCGAGAGTTTTCGCTAAACCTCATTCACCACCACCACCACCTCCGGTTAACTCCGCCGCCGTACTAATTAAACCTCCGATTCGGTGGCGGAAAGGTCAGTTAATTGGTCGTGGTGCTTTTGGTACTGTGTATATGGGTATGAATCTTGATTCCGGTGAACTTCTCGCCGTTAAACAGGTTAGTCTGATTTTGAAAAATTTGTGAATCTCCTTCCCTAATTTTGAAATTAGGGTCTCTAATTGGTAAATTAAGGAATCTGGAAGCTTAAATCACAGATTTGTACTTCGTTTTGGTGTTAACTCTAACTGATTTTGGAATTAGGGTTTTGTAGCTCTCATATGTTTAATCTTAGACTTGTTTTGAATCTTTTTGTCACTTTTGAGTGATTTTGATTTTGGTTTTGCTTTCACAGGTTCTGATTGCATCTAATTGTGCATCCAAGGAGAAAACTCAGGTTCACTAACGAACGAGCCTACTTGTTTATATTGTGCTACACTTTCTTTGTACATTTGATGAGTTTCCTATTTTTGGTGAACAAAAGGCTCATATTCAGGAGCTTGAAGAGGAAGTTAAGCTACTCAAGAATCTCTCTCATCCAAATATAGTTGTAAGAGTTGACGTTATTGTTTTCTCGCAATGCTGATAGATGTTGCAGGTTTATGTTTGTTTCTAACTTAGGCGTTCTCTTTTGGCTTTAGAGGTATTTGGGTACGGTGAGGGAAGATGAAACGTTGAATATCCTGCTTGAATTTGTTCCTGGTGGATCTATATCCTCTCTGTTGGAGAAATTTGGACCTTTTCCAGAATCTGTAAGTCTATATTGAAAAGCCTATAGGGGTATACATGAACCAACTGCTTCTGGGATTGTTTATGGTGCTAACGTCTTTAAACTGATTGACTAAGGTTGTTCGAACATATACGAACCAACTGCTTCTCGGGTTGGAGTATCTTCACAGTCATGCGATTATGCACCGTGACATTAAGGTATCTGTTTTTTGCACTTACATGAAAGTCTTTAAATCATCTTGTATTCTGGTCCTTCTTATTTGAGGTTCTTCTGTTCTCAGGGTGCTAATATCCTTGTGGATAATCAAGGATGCATTAAACTTGCTGATTTTGGTGCATCCAAACAGGTTGCTGAGTTGGTAAGTCAATATTCTCGGTCTTCAACTTCTATTTCAGAAAAACTATTCTGCTTCTGAGTTTCCCAAATTTTGTTCAAGTTATTCCTTGAACATATTCCTCATCATGATTTTAAACTAATAGACATGTATTTATCTGTAGGCTACAATTTCGGGAGCCAAATCTATGAAAGGCACTCCCTATTGGATGGCTCCAGAAGTTATTCTTCAAACTGGGCATAGCTTGTAAGTATCACTTCAAACATATTTGTAATTGCAAGATTTGCTTTGTAGACAATTAAGCTTTATCTTTTGGCTATTGTGTGCAGTTCTGCTGATATCTGGAGTGTAGGGTGCACAGTGATTGAAATGGTAACTGGGAAACCTCCTTGGAGCGAGCAATATAAAGAGGTACTTAATTTTGTATGCCTTGTTATCTCTTTTTAAAATAATTCTGGCTCTTGAAATTTTGTGGATGTGTGGTTTCTTTTCAGATTGCTGCTATCTTTCACATTGGAACGACGAAATCACATCCTCCAATCCCTGACAATCTCTCCTCTGACGCAAAATATTTTTTGCTCAAGTGTCTGCAGCAGTACGTTACTTTTAACACATAAATTTTAGATAAGAAATCAATCTTAACTTATGTTACTTCTTTTGCTTCTTGTCTTGTGGATTGCTGAAATACTGTGTACTATCTTGGCAGGGAACCAAATCTGCGGCCAACAGCTTCTGAGCTGCTAAAGGTAAAATGGTCATAGTAAATTAAATCTAATCAGGTCACGTATTTCAATTCTTTTGAGGCATAATGTTCTTGCTTTTCTTTCATTGGCAGCATCCATTTGTTACGGACAAACAGAAGGAATCTGCTATACTTCTTGCTTCAGTCATAGTAAGCTCACATTATGCAATCTATAGCATATGATCTTAGCTTTTTTATGAAAGTATTTTGAAATGATGCTTCGTTGTGTATTTCAGGACAATTCAAGCAGTCCTTTATCATCAGAATTAACTGACATGAAAAGCTAGTAAGTGCTGAGCTGAAGCCAAAAAATTTTAAGCTGAATTTATGACTACTGATTATTTGTTTCTTTTTCTTATAGTCAAATTCCTAGTAGTGATGATGTAGGAGACATCTGTAACATGGGTAGTCTTACTTGTACACTTGCTTTCCCTGAGAATTCAATCCAAAATAACAGTTTGTGTCTACAAAGTAATAACGGGTATGATGAGGATGGTGATGATGATGATATGTGTTTGATTGACGATGATAATTTCTTGACATATAATGGGGAGACTGGCCCTACTCTTGACAATATTACTGATGCCAAGGAGGTAACCCTGTGTGTAAATTATCTTTTTTCATCTATATTTCGGATTCTTTTCTAAATAATCAATAACAAAATCAATATGTGTATCATATTATTTCTGAAAGCACAATTTATAATTTATCTTTGCGCAGAATTGTGATACCATGAGTGAGATCTCTGATGTGTTGAAGTGCAAATTTGATGAAAATTCTGGAAATGGAGAAACAGAGACGAAAGTTTGCATGGAAGTTGACCACCCATCATACTCAGAAGACGAAAATGAGCTTACCGAGTCAAAAATTAAATCTTTCTTAGATGAGAAGGTGACTCATGCATAATAGTCTGTTTCCACTGTGCATTTAGATCCAAGTAAGAGTTTGCAAACATTAACTTTGTGGTAAAATGTCTAAATCGTAGGCGACGGATCTAAAGAAGTTACAGACGCCTCTGTATGAAGAATTCTACAACAGTTTGATCACATGCACTGCCAGCTACATGGACAGTAATATTAGTAACAATAAACGAGAGGAAACACATCGTGGTTTCTTGAAATTGCCTCCAAAAAGTAAGTCTCCGAGTCAGGGCCATATTGGTCGGTCACCTACTAGAGCAACAGATGCAGCCTGTTGCTCCAAGAGCCCAGAAAGCGGTAACAGCTCTGGTTTGCCGAATAATAGCAATGCAAATGCTGATGCTGAACATGAATCAAACAACCAGAGGTAAGTCCAACAGCAACTGTTCTTCTACTTAGAATTTGAGTTTAAACATTATTGGTTTAGATTCGTTTTCTTCATTTACTCGCTGTTAAGTAGGTAGGAACCAATATCCCAGAAGGTAGTCGCATGAACTAATGTCTTAGGCTATTATGGCCCCATTTTATAAATTGGTTAAGCATTGTGTGTCCATAGAAGGTGTTGCCAAAAAGTTATTCACAAATGGTTCAAAAGTTCTGGGAATCCACTTTGCCAAGAGTTGTTATCTCCTTTTCTTCATGAAATGGATTCTTTTGGCTTTGCAGTGTTGCATTGTCAGAGATAGAGAGAAAGTGGAAGGAAGAGCTTGATCAAGAACTTGAAAGAAAGCGAAGAGGTAACAATTTTCATGTCTCATTATTGCGCATATCTTTGTCTTTTACAGCATCTCAAATTCTCACATGACCAAGTCGTTTCTAGTGGTATCTCATTTCTAGACCACATTATATGTATATGAAGTCAAATTTTTAACCGCAGAGATTACTCGGCAAGCAGGGATGGGATCATCGCCGAGAGACAGAAGCTTGAGCCGACATAGAGAGAAGTCGAGATTTGCATCTCCAGGCAAATGATCTGTACAAAAATCTCCAGCCAATTTTGCACTTTTTTCTCTAAGGCTCGTGTACTGTTTCTAAATCTTTGCTTTTTGATCTTTCGATTGCTCAAATAGTATATATAATATACCTATATATAAATGTTCCTCGTTTGCGCGAACTTGAAGTTTGAATATATATAATTATATATAGCTAAAGTATTGTTTGCTTAAGTACAGTATGATTTGAGAGGGTTTAGCCAACCACAAATCTATAATTCAATTAAGAATGCTTCTCATAAGTTAAATAAATTGCCAGATTTATTTTATGATTTGTGTTGGTGTGGATTATATTAGTTATTGGTTTAGAAATCATAAATTAGTTTTCACAGGATGATAAGAATGAAGTTATGAACTCTTCTCTCTTATCCTCTTCTCAATCCAAAATACAAGCAACCCTAATCTCCATACTCATCTTCTTCTAAGAAGAGAGAACGAAGTCTCTAACAAACTCACAATGATGATCACGCAGGATGATCTCACAATGATCTTAACTCTTCTATTTATACTCGGTCAATAACACTATTGGCAAAGCCTCTTAATGGACTAGAGTCTTCACTTAATTCTACTAGCTTCCATTAGCTTATCAATACTCCCCATTTGAAGACAGCTTGCCCTCAAGCTGGAGGAATAAAGATTTGACTCATACATGTTCTTCCTCTTCGTTTTTTAGCTCTTATCTCCATGCTACGCTGTTCACATGTGCCACTATTTCTCTTAATTCTCTGCATCACGTGCTTATCAATACTCCACCGGGTGAAGATAGCTTGTCCTCAAGCGCAGTATTTCTATGAAAGTGCAGGTCCGGACGTAGTCTTCATATTCATCTTTCTCCAACAATGCCACACAGAAAAATAGATGTTCATGTCCCCATTTGTTGAGTCCTATCCGATAAACTTTCCTTCAAAACTCTATTTCACAGTGATGTTTCCAACACAATTCGGTTGTGATAGTTTTAATGGTCTTCTGAACATGTGATGGTCTCCAGCCACCGTATACTCCTCCATTTGTAACAGAGATTGCTGAATCAGCCGTAGAAGCTGATACAAGTCCCTGTTTAGCCAACGATGCTAAACCAAGAAGAAAGAATTGCAGTCACCCACTGGACACACCATGTCTTGTAATTCAGCGTTAAAGAATCAGTTTGCTTCCTGCAAATCAGCAACTATTGGAATGGTAGAAATCTGAAATTGTGGACAATGGCTGCACTCTCATAATGCAAGCATGCCCCTGATTTTGCACGGACTGAAACATTTCGTACATTTTTTCCCTTATATAAGGAATGTGTTGCTTCAACAACAATTGTTGCAGCAATCTGTTAATCCCATCAATGATGACTTGCTTGGTTCCTTTCACTCCCAGTTTAAACTTAAATCTTCAAGACATAAATCATTTCCTTTGTATCCTTCTACTTGGTAGTCTTTTAGGCATGTGAGCAAACATCTCTTCTTCCAAAGAAGGCTGCATTACATCCATCTCATTTGGAGGTACTGGGACAACTTTTCCATAAACAACAGATTGCTCATTAATTTCTTTCACTATGTGGTCATGAACAACAATTGTGTCATCCTGACAGAGTAATTAAGGCTTCTGCAACGACTCAATGATCATAAACAAATCTTCTTCTTGACAGGGCGCAGTCACTATCGGCACAGTTTCAACATGTGACTCCATGGATTTAGCAAAAATTATCATCTCGTGTAAGTGTTGAGGCTGCATCTCATGCAATTTGTCCTGCATTTCATGTTTCAAAATCTCCCATTGGATATGGTCTTATCCATGACTATGTTATCATCCAAAATGGCTTCTCAACATGAATTTAGTGTTTGTTTTCTATTTGTGGTTATGAATTTGGCATCTACATAAGACTCTTTAAAAGATATGTTGCTTGATAAATAACTGAGTAAAAATAAAGAATTTGAATGTCATATGCAAAATATATACTCACATACACAAATTGTAGGAGAAAGAAGCGAATAATTTCCTTATTATATCATATAATTTGAAAAGAAATATATGAATAGAGTTGATTGAAATTAATGCATGAGTATAATGTAAATTTGAATTTTTTTTGTAAGATTTCATTTTTCAATTTTTTTTGTAAATGATGAAGTGGCTGTATTTTGGGACTCAAAACATGTGCCCATATACGAATGTTTTTAAGCTACATCTTGTAGTTAAACATATATAATCTTCTTTAAACGACTTATATCGGCGTAAGAATTGATCTCTAATTTCTCTAATTTAGAATTTTTAGAATTGATCTCTAATTTCTCTCTCTCACTATTTTTTTATTTTATTTTTAAAAACTCACTAAAAACCTCCCGTTGGAAATGGACTTATCCATGACTATGTTATCATCCGAAAAAATATTCAATATGAATTTAGTGTTTGTTTTTCTTTATGTGATTGTGAATTTGGCATATACATAAAATTCTTTGAAAAATTTGTTTTTTGATAAACAAATGAGTATACTTACAGAATTTGAATGTCATATGCAAAATATATACTCAAATACACAAATTGTAGGAATATAATAGAATAATTTCCTTGTTATATCATATAATTTGAAATACAAATATAGGAATACAGTTGATTGAAACTAATGCATGAGTATAGAGAAAATATGGTTTTTTGTTTTCTAAGATTTCATTTTTTCAATTTTCTTCTTTGTAGATGATGAAGTGGCCGTATTTTGGGATTTAAACACGTGCCCATATGCGGATGTTTTAAGCTATATTTTGTAGTTGAATATATTGAAAAAATTTTAAACGACTTATACCGACGTAAGCAAAATTATCTCATATTTCAACTTTCATTATCAACTAAAATTGCCGTTGAAAATTTCGACAAGATAGAGATTTTTGAACTGGTCTCTAATTTCTCTCTCTCACTTTTTTATATTTGTTTTTATTTTTATCTTTCATTTTTATGAACTCACAAAAAACTTCCCGTTTGAGATGGACTTATCCATGGCTATGTTATAATCCGAAATGGTTACTTAACATGAATTGGTCACTTTTTTATATTTGTTTTTATTTTAAAATTTTATTTTAGAAATTAACTAAAATCCTCACATTAGAGATAGACTTATCCATGGTTATGTTATCATCCGAAATAGTTGTTCAACATGAATTTAATATTTGCTTTTTTTATGTGATTGTGAATTTGACATATACATCAAATTATTTAAAATATATGTTGTTTTGATAAATAAATGACTATACATAAAGAATTTGAATGTCATATGCAAAATATATATTCAAGTACACAAATTGTAGGAAAAAGAATAGAATAGTTTCCTTGTTATATCATGTAATTCGAAATAAAAATATAGGAATAGAGTTGATTGAAACTAATGCATGAGTATAGAGAAAATATGGTTTTTTGTTTTCTAAGATTTCATTTTTTCAGTTTTATTTTTTTGTAGATGATCTAGTGGCCGTATTTTGGGATTTAAACACGTGCCCATATGCGGATGTTTTAAGCTATATTTTGTAGTTGAGTATATTGAAAATTCTTCAAACGATTTATACCGGCGTAAAGAGAATTATCTCATATTTCATCTTTCTTCATCAACTAAGATTTCCGTTGGAAATTTAACAAGTTAGAGATTTTATCATTTGTCTATAATTGGTCACTTTCTTATATTAGTTTTTATTTTTAAATTTTATTTTAGAAACTAACTAAAATCCTCACATTGGAGATGGACTTATCCATGTCTATGTTATCATCCGAAATGGTTGTTCAACATGAATTTATTATTTGCTTTTTTTTATGTGATTGTGAATTTGGCATATACATCAAATTCTTTGAAATATATATTGTTTTGATAAATAAATGAGTATACATAAAGAATTTGAATGTCATATGCAAAATATATACTCAAGTACACTTATTATAAGAAAAAGTATCTAATAATTTCCTTGTTATATGATATAATTTGAAATTTAAATTTAGGAATAGAGTTGATTGAAACTAATGCATAAGTATATAGTAAATATGGTTTTTTTGTTTTCTAAGATTTCTTTTTTCAATTTTGTTTTTTGTAGATGATGAAGTTGCCGTATTTTGGGATTCAAACACGTGCCCATATACGGATGTTTTTAAGCTGCATTTTGTAGTTGAACATATTGAAAATTCTTTAAACGACTTATACCGACGTAAGGAGAATTATCCCATATTTCATCTTTCATCATCAACTAAGATTGCTGTTGGAAATTTCAACAAGATATAGATTTTATAATTGGTCTCTAATTTCTCTCTCTCACTTTTTTTATATTTCTTTTCATTTTTATATTTCATTTTTAGGAACTCACAAAAAACTTTCCGTTTGAGATGGACTTATACATGGCTATGTTATAATCTGAAATGGTTGCTTAACATGAATTTAGTGTTTGTTTTTCTTTATGTGATTGTGAATTTGGCATATACATAAAACTCTTTGAAATATATATTTTTTTGATAAATAAATGAGTATATATAAAGAATTTGAATGTCATATGCAAAATATATACTCAAGTACACAAATTGTAAGAAAAAGAATAGAATACTTTCTTTGTTATATCATATAACTCGATAAACGAATATAGGAATAGAGTTTTGTGAAACTAATGCATGAGTATAGAGTAAATATGGTTTTTTTTGTTTTTTAAGATTTCATTTTTTCAATTTTTTTTTGTAGATGATGAAGTGGCCGTATTTTAGGACTTAAACACGTGCCCATATACGGATGTTTTTAAGCTACATTTTGCAGTTGAACATATTGAATATTCTTTAAGCGACTTATACAGGCTATGTTATCATCTGAAGTTGCTGTTCAACATGAATTTAATGTTTGTTTTCTTTTTGTGATTTTGAATTTTGCATCTACATAAGATTATTTGAAAGATATTTTTTTGATGAATAAATGAGTATAAATACAGAATTTAAAGGTCATATGCAAAATATATACTCAAGTATACAAATTGTAGGAAAAATAATCGAATAGTTTCCTTGTTATATTATATAATTCGAAAAACAAATATAGGAATAGAGTAGAGTTAAATTAATTCATGAGTAAAGAGTAAATATGATTTTTTCTTTTTCATGTATAAATTATTATTTTTATTTTTTGTAGATGATGAAGTGGCTGCATTTTGAGACTTAAATATGTGCCCATATACTGATGTTTA